TTGCTAATTGGTCTTTGCATTCAAAACCACAGACCTTAAGTAGGCCCTTAACAGTGTGGAGCAGTCCTGTTACACGTTCCTAGTAAACCTTCTTTCTCATTTTTTAAAAGGACTATTTTATTCTCCTTTTCTCAACTCTGTATCCCCCTCCTCACTTTCAGCTGATAACCTCACTTCATGTTTAATGACAAAGTGTATACAGTGAGGGCTGTTGGAACATGAATTTCTGCATCTTTCATAACAGCAGATCTTCTAACCCTTTTATAAATGTTCTCACATTCTTATTTGCCCTTCTGTTACAAAGGAAGAGGAAATCTTACCACTATGTAGGACAGAATCTCCCCTTGTGCTTTGGATTCTATTCCCCTTTCACTTCTTAGAAATCTTGCTGTTTCTGGCCATAATAGCCTCTGCTTCCTTCCTCACCAGTAGTCCCCTTTTCTTGTATCATTCTGTTTGGTGTCCCTAACAGTGATCCCATTAGCATGCTTTCTTTACTTCAAAATATGAAGGATTGTATTTTGTGTTTTTCTTTCATTTTTCATTGTCGTTCAGTTCCCAGCCAGGTTTCTTTATGAGCTATTTGGTAAAACAGTAGTGCTTTTCAGTAATAAGTCATAGTAACTTTCATACAGTTAAATTCCATAGTTGTCTTTCAGTTTATATTAAAATACCTCTCAATATCTTATGTATAAGTCACTATCTTTTATTAAACTTCTCCTGACTTCTGTAACACCTAATTCTCCTTTTTGGTGTCATAGGTACCTTCCTTTTCTGTTTCCTTTGCTAGTTCCTCCTACTTTACTCACTGGAATGCAGTGTTCTGTGGCTGTTTCATCCCTAATAGGCAAAAATCCTTCAGTGCTATCATTGTTAGTGCCATTACTTCTATGCCAGTGAATCAAAAACTGCTTTCTAGTTTTACCAACTTAAAAATGAATGTGGCATCACAAATTTAATATTAGTAGAACAAAATTCTTGATGTCTACAGTGTACGGCTATTGCCTGTTCTCTGTTTTTCACATTTAAGTAGATGCTAACACCAATCACTGAATTACCTTAAACTTTTTCAGATAGTGGAACTCTTTAACCTTTTCTGTGGGAACAATTACGTAGAAAATACTGATTGCTTCTAAATGTGTTTCTTATGAGGGAAACATCTTGAATTTTCTTATATGCGCAGTTTATCTTGAACATTGGCTTTCGTCTGATTTCAGATGAACTTGTAGCATTTAAAAATGAAATAACTTACCATTATAAATTATTAGACCAAGGAGATACCTCTTCCTGCTTTAGCTGATCTTCAGGTATAAGGTACTTACTAGAATATTGCAGACATAGAAGATTGTGTGTGTGTGTGTGTGTGTGTGTGTGTGTGTGTGTTTGAGTTGCAAAATATCTATTCCCAAATAGATATGGTAGTATATTCCTGGTATTTAGTTTGAGATTTTTGGGCTCTTTAAAGATCTCATGACATAAAGATGAAATTAAAACATACATGAATTTATAATCTGGACTTCCACATCAATTAACTGTTTAAGAAACAAAGCCTGCAGTGAAAGTTCAAGCTTGTATACTTTTTGAGATGGACCAGAAAATGCCTCAGAGGTGAGATTTACTCCTGGGTAAATCTCAAAGTGCTGGTAGGAGCACTTTAAAAAAAAGAATTTGAGACCATGGGCATCTTGTGCTTCATGCTGTTTGATTATTTACTTTCTTTAAATGAGTTTTGTCAAACCCTTTGAACTGAATGGATTAGAGTTGCAATTCTCTAAAAAGAAGCTTAAACTCATCCTTAGTTGTATTCCCTTTCTTAGATTAGAGAGTACCAGAATAAGTTATGGAAGCCTCCTGACACCAGAGAACTCTTTGGCTTTTTCAGTGAAATTTAAATAATTACCTCCCTCTTATAAATAAATATTGGTGATTTCTTTGAGTGTGGAAAGCCCTTTCAAATTAATGATAACTCATAGTATCTTCTAAGGCAAACATAGATCAGCATAAATGTTTTCTCTGAGGAAAGTGGTTTATGGTGCTACTGTCTCCCTTGATCTTCTAGTACAGTCCTTAGTGCAGAAGAGCTTTATTGGTAGTTTTGTTATTAGACAAGACAATATTGAAAATGGGTATAAAATATCTTAAATCTCACCGTGTAAAAACTATATAGATGAATTGAAAGCCCAAGTGTTTCTCTGCTGTTTTTGTTAAAATTAATGCTGTTTGAAAACTATTGTCATAATTCTCTTCTAGAAGGTTCCACAGCCAATTGAATTAAATGCTGTTTTAAGAGTTAATTCAGTCAACAAACCTTGGTTTAGTACCTTCCAAATACCAGACTAAGTTCTCACACCAGGAATTTGTGAAGTGAATTAAGGTTGACACTTGTTAAAGCAAAAAAGTAGTTCTGGGACCAAATAGTATTCTGGATCCAAGTTGACTCAAAATGCTCCATTCTGCCACATAGGCAGGCTATATTTATGGCTGGAGAAAAGGGAGTAACATACAAAAGCTTGATTTGCAGCAGCCAGGATTTGCTTTATATGGACAAGGTGTGATGAGGCATTTGCCTTATATGGATATGTTCTTCCACTTGGCTGACTGTGATTGGCCAAAGTTTGAATCTTGTGATTGACTGAAACTCAGCTATCTATTATAAGAACAGATTCTACTTTTTGCTTTCTAGTCTGTCCTTGATAAAATAACTACAGTGGTCCCTCACTTATTGCAGAGGATACGTTATAGACAACTCTTCAATAAGTGAAAATCAGCGAAGTAGCAGTGTTATATTTATTTTAGTATTGCTATATATTTTAAGGCTTTATAAGCACTTCCCACACTCTTATAAACTCTTCCCACACCTTTAAAAACACTTCTAGTGTTCTTAACTGTTTTCTAAGCTCATAAACCTACTTAACTTTAACAACATACATATCCTGTTCAGTACTGCAAAATCCCTTATTATAGTGAAAAATACATAATAAATAATTTAGAGTAGTATTTTTTGAAAACCCCCAAAACAGTGGGTCTGCAAAAGTCGAACCTGGAAATAGCGAGGGACTACTGTATAATCAAAACATTTAGTTAAGGGCCAGTGAGATAGCTCAGCAGACTATAGCACCTGCTTAGGCAGGCGCAGGGGACTGTCGTATGATCCCATATCCCCAGCACCACATGCCACACCAGCCACGCCCTCAGAGTGGGTTGAGCTGCACCCCCCCAAAAAAAAATCCACTCAGTTAAGGTAGCAGAAACTACATAATTTCATTACATCTTAATTTTCTTTTGTAAAGTATATTGATGCTATTTGCTTGTCAGGAAAAGAGATCAAAACAAAGAGTATGCATTTGAAAACCTTTTGAAAAATATAATTACATAAATGTAAAGTTTTATTTGTACTTGTTTAAATGGAGTCAAAGATTTGTGCATTTGGTGCATGTCACTATTTCTGTCATTTAGTGTTCTGTTTTTTTTTTTTTTTT